CATATAATCTAAGATAGGCCTACCTCAATCAAAGACATATTTAGCTTCCGCAAATCCATTAGTCTAGTTACTTAGAGTTTATGCGCTCCCTTTTTTGTTTCGTCCATGAAGGCATCTAACCTCTTACAGCAATTCATGGAAAGGTCAGCCTAATCATCATCACCTAATGTGTTTCTTGCATTTATTAACCTACAAGCAAAAAGTCATTCCCCAACTTGAATCACACTTTAAGATAACCAAAATTGAATTGGTTCTCTTTGTTTTGCTGCTTCTATTGAAATCGAAAGATCTACCATGTCCAGTGTTATCAATTCCCAAAATTTTAAGTATCTGGATGAGGTACTCCCTCATTGTCCTCTTGAGTGAATGCTGTACCCACAGTTTTAAATGTCTTCATGCCTTTGCACTAAAAGCCTTTTCACTTCCTTAGTCATACAAATTCCTTGCTTCTGAACCCATTCCAGCACCAATGGCCTGCTATATGATAGACCTATTGTAAGCATACTACAAAGGGATAACTAAACTAGGTCTACCAATCCATGGCCTTCTATATAATTGGGTGGAAATAATTGTTCTCCAAAGGTAAATGCAATTTTGAATTTAGCATACAATCTGTTTTGGTCAATTGGATTTCTTCTTTAGAGTGTGATGTAATAGTTTATAGGCTTGTATCAGGCAGACCTGGATACATGTCGAACTCTAACTTAAAGGTTGCATACAGCAGATGATATAGACAAAATCATGATGTTCTGAACATGGGTTGCAGGGTTCACATTAACTCACCATAGCAAGTCCCTGACTCATATTTTCTTGGAGGGACTCATATTTGCAAAACATCTATGTCTGTGGGACTCATTGACAACCACCTGAACATGTTCCCACCGAGCTGAAGCTAGGTGCCAGGACACAAGATTTAAAAAGCTAGTGTGAACCCTGGGTTGTTAAGGGTGATGGATGAAAATGTAGCCAGTAGTTAGGAGCATACCATTTATGGTTCAACAGATTCATCTGGTCCATTTTCATTACCTGCCAGGGATGCTTCAGGTAGCTGTTATGAATGTCACACTTAGAATGGCAGCTCATGTCAATAGTGGCAGCAGATGTATTTAATAACTATTGTGACATTGCCCTGCATAATCTATTGGTTATATGGGGTAATGCTACATTTGTGGGGCTCATTCTTTGCATTGAAACTTGAGATTTAGTACAAATAAGGAACAGCTGTGCATTTTGTGAAGCATTTGAGGATGGTCTGGAAGGTGTTGCTCATTGTTGATGATAATGCTATGGTGTTTGATTTACCCTTGTGATGTTGGTGCCATTAATAGTGATCTGCTTCAAGGGAAGGCCTAAGAGTTTTTTCTAATGCCTCTGTTATGTAAAACACTCTCTTTGGACATAACTGGGTTCAGGATGAGATCATTCTCATAAGATGGAGAGGAGAGGCAATTGATTGACTGGTGCATTTTCTAAGAGACACTAGTAAAGGTCAATTGCTTGGTGGGTTGCCTTCTTCCAAAGGCAACAAATTGATTGATGTCTGAGTGATAGCTATGAATTAACTTCAGGAGTCAGGATGGGACTCAAATCATGGGTATGATGGATGTCTTAGGCATAAACTCTTACCCCCATTAACAATGATACTTCATTATATCTCTGACAGGACAATAATCAGTTTCTCAATATTTTCTGAACTGGTCAACTGACTCTGAGATCAGTTCATTTCAACTGGAATGACCTGGAAGGACATTCCAGTTTAAAATTTTAATGTTTACATACATTGTGCCTCAGAGTTTGTCCAAAATCAGGAACCCTTCAGAAGTTCTGACCATTGGCCTTCACAGCACATAGCCTGAGCATGGCATTCTCTTTCTGTTTTCCTTTCTGAATCCCAGACTGCTCTCCCTTATACCATTCATAATCCTCAATGAGATCTGCATGTAGTCTCTGAAAGCAAAGAACAGAAATAGTAACTTGCATTGGCAAGATTCAGGCTTGCACCAAGGTAGTTCAATATCAGGACCAAGTTCAATATCAGGACCAAGATGGCCAATATATCACAAATCAAAAAACCTTGCTTGGAACAAGGACAAGGTTAGCATATTCATACCAAGATATTACAACACAATCAACCTTCAAATGTATGAAGAAGTTTGATGTTGCAGCTAGAGTTCCAATAATTACTTTCTCTGTAGATCATGCAACACATTTGACCTTGACCCTCTACCCATCTTGTTCAACAATACTGAAGAACTTCCCATCCAATAAAGAAGGCAAGCCTCCTAAGGTAGCCATATTTGAAGTTGTACTGAACCAATTAAAAAGTATTTTATATTTTGTTAATTGTTTTAGTAAAATTTTTTGCAGAGAATTATATTTCAAATATAAAATTCAAATACTCATTGAGATATGTATTTAAATACAGTTATTTAAAATACTGCCCTCTACTGTTGATTTAATTCTAGGGCTTTGCGGATTATCATAATATATTGATATCAGTACTAATGCTCCTATTTGGGGTACATCTGCATATTGCATTGTTCTTTTTCAGCTTGTTACTGTCCCCTCCTGATTACTACTATTTTCCCATATGGCTGAAATAGGAAGAACAGTCAGCATGTGCAAGCTTTCATAACCTAATACAGCTCCCCATTGTTACTAGGCCCAGTAGGGTAGGGTTGAAGAGGCAAAGCTTTCTACTAGAAGATTTATTTCTATTGTGACACCCCTAAACCATTAGACCTTTGGAGCACTAGGAGATAATAGGTGGCACCCTGTAGCACTCCTCCCAGCTGCTAGTGTCTAGCTGGTTTGAAGCAGAGAGGAGTGGAAAGTACTACCTTTGTGAACCTTCATGTGGCAGTTGTAACTTGAGAAGGGTCTTTCTTGTAATATTTCAGAAATTTAAAAAGTGATCTGTGCAGGTATACCAACAAGTAGCTATAAGATGAAATGATGTTCAAGCACTACCCTGGAGTAATAACAGAATTTCCTCTTTGAATAAAATGTAATTTGAGGAATCATGAGATGCTCCTGGAAATTGATCTTGACAATTCAACAAAGGCATCCAGAGAAGTATTATTTTTCAAGAATGGTTGAAAAAATGTACAAGTCAGGATAGTATCTAATATATACGTGGGTCATTCCAAAAGTTTCTTTTGCTCTCTTGCTGTATTGTTACCTTGTATATTTCGAGCCTAAAATTTTCTAACTTTAATCTGTGACTCATTGTTATATCTTTCCATATTTCAGATATTTGTCTGATATCCTAACAGAGGTTATTGCTGGAGTTGAATCATGTCTACTTTTGACTGTTCATTTTTACAACAATCATTCAGTCGGGATGACGTCAGGACAATCATTAAATTCTACATGCTTCAGGCAAACAAGCTCACTAGTACTGGATATTGATGCTTTAATGAATTACATGTCCTTAATCTGTGAAAATTTGCAATTAACTTTTTCCAATAATATACATATCACAATGCAATAATCACCACACCCAGAAACCACCAAAACATGTGTCCTAAAACAAAACACTACCAAAGCATGAGAAAAACTGAAGGGATTCCTTACTAGAGGAACAATGAATGAGGAGTCAGGCATGATGTACAGGGCCACTGCCATATGCATGGAACTTTTAGTTCTTCACACTCTGCCTGGACATGTATGATGTTCATATGTGATGACCCAGACATTGAACTTACGTGAATGCATGATATCCACATTTGTGGACAAACAAGTTTTAGAGCTATAATAGCCAATATTAACCCAATGAGGAATTTGTAGATGCTACAAAGATAAGTGTACTGTCTCAGAAGTGCATTCCAGTCCTTTTATGCAATGCCAAAAACATTTTATGCAAATTAATTTGAAATGATAGCAGTTCTTGTGACCACTCATGGGCCCTAGAAAGTGGCAGGATACACTAACTCTGATATTCTGATAGTTGTGATGTCCACAAATAGGTTTATGATGTTCTTCTGAAAGTTGTGTTGATTGGGAGCAGTAAAACAACTTTAAAAAAATGTCCACAAATGTTAATGCAATGCAATAAAGAAGGGGTCAATAAGAGCAGCTTCACCCATCCTGAATTTGTCTTGTCTTTATTCTTTTCTCTATGCCTGCCCCGTTGCCTTTCAACTGAAGTAGACAATATTTATGTGTAGTATGATGAAAGAATTTGCAACAAAGATATGGCTCATCTCAGTGGCATGCCCAAAGGGGGGGGAGAGGGTTATGACACAGATGCACACTCCCCCTTGGGATACATTTTACAGGTTTGATTCTAAGCAAATTTTTTTTTTGCCTATGTATGGTGGATTACCAATTTTTCATGTCAAACCCCTTCCCCCCCTCCCATTGGGATTTTCTGGGCACACTACTGGCCTATCTTATTTTCACTGGTTTCACCAAAAAAGTTTTCTTCCCCAATGAATGTAATGTGGTGCTCATTCCTGATCCTGAATTGGCACTGTGGCAGGTCCCAATACAAGTCAGTAACTTCAGCACCCACCTTTAAATGATTGCTTTGCTATTTGGCATGAATGCAAAAATTTGGGGGTTTTTTTTCAGCCTTTTTCTAATATAAGTAATGACATCCTGATTATTTTCCATTACACTATCACCAAGAAAGGGACATTTTCTGAGAATTATACATTTACCCCAACATCTACGGGGTGCCCTGACTATTTTTACCCAGTATCCACCTTGGTTTTGTCAGTTACTCCAGGCTAGTCATGCATCTGGGTATCGTCTTCATTTGAGAAGTTAAGAAATGGTCATTTAACATGCTGTGATAAAGGCAGTAGGAATGAGAATCTTCTACCAATGAAATTGTCCATTTTTAGTACACACTTTACTCCACTTTGTTCAGTATCTGTTATGTTATATGGGAGTTTGACACTATTTCAAGTACAATATATAATGCTAAACCTACAACTTTTGCTTGATCTATATTAGTCTAAGTCTAAGTTAGGCTAGATCGATATTATTCTTCCATGACTTGGTGAGCTTTTCCTAAACGTGTTCTTTTCAGGTATCTGTCTTATGTTATGGTGTAAGAATTTATTCTGACATGAGCAGTTACCAGTCCTTCAACTGTCCTGTTGTGATGTTCAATGCACCCTATGGACCATCTTGTGGCAAGAAGATGGAAGAAACTGTGCCTCCTGTCCAGGAAGCATTACAAGCACTATCAGACAGCACAATATCCTCTGTAGTTTCAAACAGTTTGAGTTCCTATGATCAGGGAGGTAGCATCGTCCTATCCACCTGTATCTATAATGGCTTGCATCCAGATGTGAAGCAGTCCTCTTCAACTGAACAAAAGGAACAAGAAGATCCTCCTCAACACAAGGATGACCCCTCAAGTGAAGCACCCATAGCCCAAGGGACAAATGGGGTTGAACCTGTGATAAACCTCCACATCAACAATGTTGTTTGTTCTTTCAATGTTCGATGCCACCTTGATCTGAAGTTGATTGGCCTTAATGGTCAGAATGTTGAGTATCGTAGGGAACAAAATCGGGTGACTCTAAAACTGAGAAAACCTCATGTCACTGCCAGTTTGTGGTCATCTGGGAAAATTGTTTGCACGGGAGCCCAAAGGTGAGGTTATCTTGCATATAACATGTATGAAAGATGTGCTTTTATAGTAACTGCTGATATATATGTGAGATAGATGCTATTCAGTTTTGCATCTTGATGATGTACTATGGGATTTTTACCCCTATCCCAGTGAGGATTCAGCAAAGGTAGCTGCTCGACGCATTGCGAGAGTCCTTCAAAAGATGGGCTTTCGTGTGAAATTCCGAAACTTCAGAATTGTGAATGTTTTGGGATCCTGCTTTTTCCCATTTGCCATCAAACTCAATGGTTTCTGCATGAAGCATAAAGATGCCAGGTAAGTACTAATGTGTTTCAAAAGTCAAAGTGACAGCTTGCATTTTACCATTTGATGTTAGATATTTTTGAGATACCAAGCAGATAACACTGAAATGCTCTTCTCATTGCCTTTATTGCCCTAACTGTCAAAGAAATGTAGAAAGGGTATGACCAAATTGTCAGAAGTTCTTGCATGCCATTGCCATACTGAAATTTCCATGCTATGGGGCTCTAACAAAAAAATATGGAGAATCTGATATTGAATTCTATTTCAGGGGTCCTGGAAGGGTATTATTATTTTGTGTAACACATCTGTCTTTAGGGTAAAGGTCCTTTTCTTGTCTGAATTATATCAAAATAGTCATAGAAGATGCACACTTGATCCCATCAGGGGAAGAAATGAACTGTATGTATAGCTTTAATTTTCACAATAATCACCTGGATATGACCCCAAGACTGCATATCCCATATAGCTATGAACCGGAACTTCATCCTGGTGTCACATACCGGATCAAGAAGAGTAGAGCTACTTTGAAGATCTTTTTCACTGGGAGTGTGACAGTCACAGGTCAGTGTATGACTTTCCCTTTTTTTTTGTTGCAAAATTTGCATAAAAAGTTTTTATTTACAGTACTTCAGATTTTCTCACTCACATAAATAACCATGAAATGAAGATCACTATACATGATGTTGCAGAAAGAAGCAACTATTCACACAAAAGAGATAGTTGTAAGGCAAAGGTTTCAAACTCAATTTGGCTGGGGGCTGGATGGAAGCCTTCAGGGGTGATTAGGGGCCACCAAAAAAATCAAGCACTAAATCTATAGTGCAAGCAGGCTGAAATTCACAGTACTTAACCAACTGTTGAAGAGGACTTTGTGGACTGGACAAAATGGACTGGCAGGCCATATCCAGCCCACAGGCAGCCAGTTTAGCACCCTAGATGTAATGTAGGTAGAAAGAGGAGGGGTAGGGAGAAAGAGGGAGATACATGTTTCAGTATGAGTGAAACTTCTATTGGAAATTTCACTCATTCTCATACCCACCTCCTGTGCCTCCACTCCTCGTACTATGTAGTTATTTGTGCATGGTGCTGAATATTCAATTTATGCACGATGGAGGGTGACTGGAAACAAACAAATAAATTGAATCACTAAATCCTATTAAATTCTGTTTAGTTTGCACAAATATAATAGCTCTAGAGCAAAAATGATGAAAGTTATTACAATTTTAAAATAGGAGTGACTTTTCACCCTCTGTATATCAGGTGGTGCAAGAAAAACATGCCCTACTTGACATTGTAAAAAAACCAATCATGGAAAACCTAGGTTTGTGGATTTTTGGCATCACATTGGAAACACTGCAAAATTTGTTTCCTGAAAGTTTCAAGTGTCTATATTGCCTGAATAAGAAGTGACAGTCATAAAATGTAACTTTTCCTCAGTTGAGGAGGATGTAGCCTCAGCACCTTTTGAAAGATTTCTCTCCTTGAGCCATGAAGACTATTTTTCATGTTGTGTTCTTGCCATTGAATTCTTGATTGTGTAGTGTTATTATACCAAGTGAGGATATAAGGTCTGGATTAGATTGTGTGTTTAGAGCATAGTACTAGATTGGAGAGGGAAGAGAATGGAAAGTTTTGTATCAAATCATGGACTCTGTTCTGTGGAATCTCTTTCTTCCAAGGTCTTCTTTTAAAAACACCTTTTTAATTAACATAATATCATTCGTTACAAGATTCAACATGATGGCACTGCACTGTAAAGGACATTGTAATAAGAATGCTGCTGGAAAAATGTGACACATTTGTATGGTACTGCTTAAACCACTGCCTCCTGGTGCACAGAAAGCAGAACTTTCTGATCAAAGTTTCAATGGCTGCTCTTTGCCCGAACAACTTAGAGACATCAAAACTTGCATGATGCAAATGTTATCATGTTTTATATATGATAAAAAAAGATTCACAGATCTGGCATTTCTGCAAGTTTTATTTGATAAGTTTTATGTAACCTTGAACATAACTTTTTTTTGTGCCACCTGGTATATTCATTCATAAACATGAGTAAATAGGGAAATTCACGGGAGTGCATCCAGAGGAACAAGAATTGCATCAGGTTGTGTGTAGAAATTGGAGTATCTGCTGTCTGAAAAAATGACTGAAAACCAAGCCTCTCCTGAGTGGCATCCATTGTCTCCATGGCAGTGTCCTTTACTGTTTCTCTCTCTCATTCACTCTTGTTTTCCAGGTTATGTTAGGTCCCATCAGCACATATGCATTAGTTCCTTGCCTACCAATTTGAGTTTGGCTCTTCACTTCCCAGCCTGACAACACGTTGTAATGCCTCCTAAAAATCTTTGATGTGTTGTGACAACCTTAACAGGTTGTAAGTCCTGCATAATTTAAGCCTAAGTGTATCTGTAGACAAAAGTCTGAGTCTCTCATCCTACAGATTGTAGATCATGTTGATTTTCAGAATGTAGGTTATCCAGGACCTGCATCACTATCCAGTTTGAACTTAATCCAACGCTGTATGATGTGCCAGGGTATGGTATGCTCTGCCTTGCATTGAAACATATTGCAATACAGTGGAAAAGCCAAAATGAAAGGATAATTTTTTCATCAACCACATGAAAAAATATGATAGTCAAAGATGTATCTGGTACAGTAAAAAAAAAACATGCATTGTAGGGCTAATGCATTTTACTGATATGTTAATGTATAAACATGGTTGTCAATGGTGGTTTAATCTTTTTTCTTCCTAGCTCCCAGTGTGGATGCGGTGAGATCTGCAATTGAGTACATCTACCCCCTGGTAGCAGAATTTCAGATGAAGAGGGAAGAATGCCCTGATGCTGACTCTGCTGTTCAGGAGGAAATCATGAAGCAATCTGAAGATTTACCTGAATTTTGATGATGACTAGATGAAGTAATGTTTAGGGTGTCCTTTATGAATAGTTGTGAAAATTTGCAAGGCAAACATATTCTATTTTGGTCTCTCAGGAGGGGGATAAGAAAGAAAAGTTCTCACACTATGACTCAGCTATTCCAGTACCTCCTGTTTTCATCAGGGGGTGTGAATTCAATCTTGGCCTTCTCTTGCATTGATTTCACTGGATCTGTGATGTGTATTTATTACTGTGTGTCCTGGAGGAGAACAATAATTGCTTATGCAGCCAACAAGGATTCTTGCATCCATGCATTGAAAGGTGATTTCTCTTTGCTTGACCTCAAATTGCTTTTGAAATCTGCAAGAAAAATTTTCATAGGATATCTTGAATTTGTTGTATGAAGGCAAAAGAGAGTGCAACTGACAATCTAAGAAAATGCAAATGATACATTTTATTTCTGTACCATTTTCATCGTACAGTAGGAATCTAGCTGTGGCTGTGCATGACTCATTTTCCTGAAGTTTAAAGAATGTCATATATGCAGTCAGCTGACCTATATAATATGGTGTGAGTCATCTTGAGCACATGAGAAATCCCCCTGGAATGTATTCATTTCAGCCCATGGTGGCAACTTGCACTTTGAGTCAGCTTGTGCCTTAGGCTCATTATATTCATGGGTAAGTATGGGGTCAAGCAAAGGGAGAGCAAGATTGTATAGGAATGGGCTTGTGATGTACTAATTTAAGTTCTTCTTTGACGCCTGTGTGAACTCTATCATGGATAGGGGTTGTTCTAAGGCCTACCATCTGTTTTGGATATGAATATGCTGATTGTCACTATCAAAATTGCATGTTCAACTGCACATACCAAAAATTGCACCTCTTAAAATTTGCTTCTTACTGGATATTCCATCAGATTTGTAATTCATATTGATAGCTGTGCATAAAGCCAATTTATTGCTACATATTTCTCTTATTCAGGAGTTACATGAAACCAGGAGAGATGTTCTTTTGATTGCCACCTCTCGTTGCCCATTTCTCAAGATTATGTGTGACTGCTCTAAAGCCATTCCCAATTAGGATTTTGAATTTATTTGGGGAAGCTAGCTTTTGATGGGGAAAGATATCACACCTCTCATTGTGGACATGATTTATGGATTATGGCAGTAAGAACCAGTCCTTAAACAAAACCCTGTCACCCCAAGGGAATAATTACTTGAAAGAACTGATTTTGTGAGCTGTCCCATTGTAATCAGTACTATCATTCTTAGTCATTGCAAGAGAACTTATTTACTGTATGATGGCATTCCATAAAGAAGAGAAATCTCCCATGTACCTGTCTTATTAAATACAATAAGTCTGATTTGAAGTTCTTACCTATTTTTTGCCATCCTATAGTATTGTTCCAAGTCAAATTATGATTGAATCTGCTATTTTGTCATCAGACAAGTAAATTAGACTCAGGCAATGATGGGTAGGGTATTGCTTTCTCTGATCATTGGCCATGTGCAAGTGGATGGATTCATTCCACCTTGGAGTTGTTTCATGTTCCCCATGATTACATTCTATCATTTGTCACAACAAAGTCATGAGCTTGAATGCACAATAACCTGCAGTATCTTTCTTCTTTTTTAATTTAAAATGTAATTCATGACTTCATGGCATCAGGGTAATTTTTCTCACCTGTAACAGGTATAACAGCAGTGGAGCTATGAAAGAAAAAGCATTATGTGCTGTCGCTACTGTACCTGTCATTTCATTCAGGACCTTTAAATATAGAGAAGGTAGACCAACGTTCATCTAATCAGGAAGCAAAGTTTGCCCATGTAAGAAAGAAGTTTAACTTGAAAATAGAAAGTAACTGAACAATACTGTAAAAAACGTCATGTATTTATTTTTTCCCATTCTTATGAGATGAGATTTTTTGCACCCAGCTGAAGACTTATTTAGCGTCTGCATATATTTATAGTGCTCCTCCAATTTGATAGACGGAAGGGGTCTGTTGTCATCTTGCCACCACCCCTTTTTTGTTTTCCCACTATTGGTTGCCCTCATCTTGTACAAGATGTAAATATTCGTTTCTTCCTGGGACCCTGTTTTAAAAGGTTGCCTCTACAGTAGGTTTCTTTTTTTGTTGGATGCAGTACCTAGGATGGAAGGGGGGGGGTTCCCCAGGAATGAGTGCTTGAAACTCCTCATATGAAGTACAGATTCTCTTGTGAATTGGGTAGAGGTGTATGAACTCTGGCAACCCTGGTGATCAGGGTGGCGTTTTGGTAAAGATATGTGGATCAGCAAGGCCAGTTTTACTGTCTTCCATGATCACTGTGCACTGTTTCATTGACTGAGCAAGTTGAAATCCTTCTTGCAGCTTCTCATGCGTGTTTCAATGCAGATCCTTCACTTACCATACCGTATGAGTGTGAATTATATATTTATCAAAGTGTGATTGATCAGCTCAAAATCTTGCAGAGACTCATGTGGTTTTTCTCCCATTGTTGGTCAAGGGCTGTATCATGTAGTAGCAGTCAAATCTGCTGTAAAGCAACATGTTTCTTGGCAAGGATGCAGAGGAGGCGTGCAATATCATTTACATACGTCCACTTGTCGCGCTCTGTTGTTTGTGATGGTTGAACTTTTCAGATCCATGAAAAATGTTATAACCGTTTTGGAATAAATGAGCCTTGCGCTTGGTAGTTTGCATTTCATTGTGGTTGCAGCCAATACCCCATTCTGCAACGTGGACATTTTGCCCATGAATAACGCTGAGAAATATAAATTTTTCACCATGAAGTTGGCTCCAACCGTGGCTGATTAAATTTGTTTGGTGTGGAAAATTACTTCAGAAAACATTGTCAGCTTAACCGCAAAACTTAGATGCCAGTGAAGCTTGTGAGGTTATGTCCGCTGAAGGAAATAGTCATGACTTCGAGGCGTATGAATTCCCTTGGAAGTCGTGCGTCTTCTTAGGCGATTCCCTTGTTAAACTGTAGGTACTTTCGTGATAAGGAAATTATTGGGTTGTAACATATATTCCCGCCGTTTTTATATTTTGTTTGTTTTCACTCCATATTTTTGAAGTTTGGCAAAGTGGATATAGTCATTCCAAAGAGCGTTCTTTCCTCTACAAACTTATTGCCACCATTTTTCCGAATAACTTAATTTTACTTAACTTTCAGGTATTTGAAATGGAAATACCAGGCAGCAAGAAAACCCATTTTCGACACTTGCTTTATTTCGCGTTTCGCCGTAATCAAACAGCAGCCGAAGCAGCTCAGGATATTTGTGCCGTTTATGGAGAGGGTGCTATAGCTGCGAGGACTGCTCGAGATTGGTTTGCCAAGTTCAAAAATGGCAACTTCGACCTGGACGACACGCCTCGCTCTGGGCGACCTACCGAGTTCGACGAAGACCATTTGAAGGTGCTTTTGAAGCAGGAATTGGCCGTGAAGATGAACAGCAATGCTATGACGATATCCCGTCACCTTCAATCAATTGGTTTTACTCAAAAACTTGGAGCTTGGCAAACCAATCTCGAGCAGTCCTCGCAACTATAGCACCCTCTCCGTAAACGGCACAAATATCCCGAGCTGCTTCGGCTGCTTTTTGATTACGGCGAAACGCGAAATAAAGCAAGTGTTGAAAATGGGTTTTCTTGCCGCCTGGTATTTCCATTTCAAATACCTGAAAGTTAAGTAAAATTAAGTTATTCGGAAAAATGGTGGCAATAAGTTTGTAGAGGAAAGAACGCTCTTTCGAATGACTATATCCACTTTGCCAAACTTCAAAAATATGGAGTGAAAACAAACAAAATATAAAAACGGCGGGAATATATGTTACAACCCAATATAATGTGAGGTTTTTGACGAAATTCGCACGTTTTTAACACAATTCTACAGGATTGGACCGAAAGACACTGCTATCTAAAACGTCAACAAAAATGCGATAACCAATGCTTTAGACGTTCAATCGTTTAAACTGTATTGAAAGGCTTCTCTCAACATCCGCTGTCCCGTGAACAGTCAACTATTCTACAATTCATGATTCATGCTCTTTGTTCTCAAATTTGTTGGCGAGGTTTTGCACGGTAGCGGCTGTTGATCTAGCCTTGCGGAATCTCTTCAAAACGAGAGCGAATATAATCACATGTCTCAACTTCAGCTTTCTCTTGTAAACTCAACACGGTGGCTACAGGACTCAACGTAAGGGAGATATCACTATTGAGTGAGTCGTGAATGAACGTTGCAAAATATATCTGAAACTATGAAAGTGGTGAGTGATGAAACTTAACGGGGCAGTTAGACCAGAAGCTGAGCCAATAAAAGTTTCGTTTAGAAGTGTAGAAGTTAAGCTAAAAATCCTTGGTGTAGTTAGCATTTTGACGATTTATCTGAAACTATGGGAAGTCGTGTAACAAAACAGCATAGACGTATTTCTGGGACCTAATATGGGCTAATTTTTGCTTGAAACACCTCATTGGTGGAGCCGCGCTGAATATTGAAGTCAGAATGAAGAGTTGTACATGCCGTGGAGCATAAGCGTAGCGCGCATGGAAAAAGTGGGGGGGGGGGGCACGGGAACTCTCCCCCGTTGCACATTTTAATCTTCAACGCATTTTCATCTGGTCTTCACGTCTTGGACAGAAAAAAATTGTCAAATTTTCATGTATTTTTCCTTTTCCAGTATCACCGTATTGGTTTCCATCAGAGAAAATAAATCTGAAGCTATTCTTACAAGCATTTTCATTTTCTTTGCCTCCTAATTATTTATTGTGGACTTCAGAAAGACATCTTAAAGCATCTTTGAAACCATTTATGAGATGTGTGCAATTTCTACAAAAATGGGCAAATGCTTGCTGATCCAGATGATGTGTGATTCTTTATCAAATAGTTGTGCCCATTTTAATTTCCGGCCAAAGGCGAAGAAAGTAATCTTCGCTTTCTCATCCTGAAGTTGTCTTCGAGATGCATCTGATTTTTTAAATGATCATGCATAGTTCAGCTCTTATTGCATTTGGTATGCCCATATCGGATTTCTTCCGAACTGCAGTGTTTTTTTTTTTCCTTCCTAGCTGAGCCCTATGCAAGAAAAAGAGAACGTATGCCTTAAAGTTTATCTGAGATATAAATCACATCATCGATTTTTATAGCTCGAGCTAGAAGCGAGCCATATTGCAATAGTTCAAGAAAACTAGGTTCTCGCAACTGATGCGAGATGGCGGCTGATTCGCTGCAGAGACAATTTACACCTTGACGGAACTTTTAGAAGTCCCCAGTAACTAAGTACATGTGATGTCTAATATTTTTCCAAGTACAACAAGCCTTGCCCTTTCAGCTGTGAGGTTATAAGAAGTCACGTGTGAGTGGGAATGGGGGTGGAGATTTAGTTACTTCGTAAAAAATGGTCTGCGGCTAAGATACAGGGTGATCCAAAAGTCAGGCACACCAAACAAGTACACCCAACAAAATATCCTGGAAATACTACTACTCCGGATAGTCAAAGAATGTGCTGGAAATGCTCACCACGTTCTTGATAACATGCATTAACTCGCTTTACCATGTTTTCAGACACACGATGAAGAGTGCGTTGATCAATGCCGGAAATGCAGTTTTTGGATTCTTCAAGGAAGAACTAAGAACTGAGGCCATATGGCCAGTCAAGGTCAAGCTGCTGCGCGCGTGAATGTAATGTCCAACGTTGCGGCTCTCCACTCTTCACCAGTGTTGCAATGTAGTGAGTCTATGGTTTTAATGATTTCTGTAAACGGGAAAAATTATGTCTATATGGTTGGTGTGCGTGACTTTTGGATCACCCTGTACTTTTACTACTATATAGAGTGTGGCTGAGGTTCATCGCTCTTCTTCAGGGAGGAAACAATTCTGTTTTCTCTATATGGTCAATGATGATAACAGGGATGATGCATTTTCCATGCCAGAAAGAATACATCTAAACATTGGAGATGTTTCCAGCATAAAGACATCTTCGGAAGTGGACATTTGCAGGTGTTCAAGACGTCTTGCGAAGATGTCTTGAGGGCGTCATATCTCTTCGTGAAGACATGTTCTAGACATACTTGTGTAATTGGGGCTGGAATACCAGGGCCTAAATGCTGTGAACACTCTTTATAACGAACTCGAAGAGACAGGCTAAAAAATTTCCTTATAAGGAATTCCACAAATTTCGCTGAAAGAAAATAGGCCTCTTAAACAAAATGTAATTTATTCCCAAAAAGAATGCAGTTGTCCAATCACAAAAAACGCAAAGGAGTGAACCTTATTGCAAAAAAAAAAAATTCCAAGGTGTGGGTATATACCCAGCAAACAAGGTAACGTTGGATCAACGTTATATCAACGTTCCGAACGTTCATTCAATGTTGATTCAACGCTGATTCAACATTATGTGTTTCAAATTGTTTGCTGGGTACCTAAATGGGCGTGCACAGCAGTTTCCCTGAAGGTGTAATAAATATCGGGTGAGTCACCTTCGACCTTTGATTCAAAAATAACCCAAGATAGTCGAAGGCTTCTATTACTTGACCGATCAGAATTCTGGACTCGGCCTTACCCTCATCTTTAAGATTCGGAGAAGATCGACTGACAGAGCTCCTTTACTCTCTACGCCCACATCAATACGCGGGTGGAACATGCTAAATTTAGATGTGGGATGAGACATTCCAGGAGATGGAGATAAAAAACAGCTCTGACACGTGCGGCAGATTTAAACCTAGTAATACAGAAGAGTTTTATTCCTTCGGGCGAAAAATGACTTCGTAAAACCGAACAATTCGTTATGCAGAATATCGTTTTAGAGAAACTTTTCAGCATCCATTTGAAAGGGCACGCGGTCATGATCTGGGAAAAAAATTATTAAAAAAGATTTTAAAAAAGAAGAAAATTTGTTATATAATGTAAGGGTAGTTATAAAGTTCTGTGGGGTGTTTACAGTGGCGTAGTGACCAAAGTAGATGGAGTTAGATCACCAAACTTGCAGGGTGCACAGATAATGGCATGAGAAGGCCATTTCCATAATAAAAAGTCGAAATGGCGCTACTATCATCCCAGGTGGCAGTACCATCGCTTGGAACGCTGGATTGTACAGGGCCCACGAAGGGCACCTGTCTCGGCCCGGTATGCACGAAGAGCTTGCTCAGATTTGCATCCATTAAGATAATAATGCTTGACTAGGCTAGCATTTTGCTAGGGGGGGGTCATCATTTTCCTGCTCTCTTCAAAATGTGTGTGCAGACCAGATGGCCTGGCTTTATATTGTGTAGTGGGTAATGGTGCTGCCACCTGGGATGATAGTGGCGCCATCTCAACTTTATTATGCAAATGGTCTTCCCACGTCATTATCGGTGCAGCCTGCAAGTTTAGTGATCCAACTCCATCTACAGGGTGGCCCAAAAAAAAGTTCACTCTTTTCAATGCGCATTTTAGGGGTGATGCTTTCAATGATATTTTTTCCGGTTACATGTAATGGAAAGAAGAAAGACTTAGCTACAAAATGCTTTTTTTCTGACTTGAAATTCGTTTAAGGGTGACTTAGAAAAAAATTATTGAATTTCGGTTACAAAAACTGCGTTGCGAATTTCAAATCTGAAAAAGAAAGCATTTTGTAGCAAAGTCTTTCTTCTTTCCATTACAAGTAACGAGAAAAAAAATATCCTTGACAAAATCACACCT